ACCTGAATAATGTAGAAGCTTGAAATTTAAAACACAACGTAACATTTGGAATATCAATTACCCTATGCAAAAAAATTAAGGTGGGCGTGGCACATCCGGGTAATATTACTCATTATTGACATTTTTTGGCCAGGGGCATAACTCGCAAAGTATACATTTGTTCAAAATGGAACTTTTTACACAATTACCTCATATTTTGGGCCACTTTGTCTTAGAATTTTGGCTGTTTCCGCTTCATGTTCAAAAAAAGGAACAGGTTTTGGAAATTCAAAATTTTCAATTTTTGACCTTGACCTTTGTTGACCTTGACCTTTGTAGGATCAAACGTCATTGGCATTGGCTATCTATTTATACTTTTATATTTGCTGTCCTAAGTCAACTTCTGGTTTTATAGTCGTTAGCAATTTGAAATTTTAATGGCGTATATCTCTTGATCTTGACCTTTTTAGGCCTTCTCCTTTACAAGTTCAAAGGTCATTGACCTCGGCTATCTGCTGATGCTTTCATTTGTGAGGTCTGACGTCCACTTCCGGTATTAAAATCTTCTAAAAAAAGGAAAATTTCTCAACTTTAGACTGTTCTTGCGCTTGATCTAATTATCGTGGAAGGTTGATTTTTTCGGGGTCTTTTGCATTTTGCTACATTTGCAAAGTCCCACTCTGTGCCACGTGTGGCTCTAGTTCTTTTTTTTTGTTATTATAGATATCACTGCTTCAAGATTTCACACTACTGATTCTTCTACTATAAATATCCCTGCTACAACCCCTCTAGCAACATATTCTTCTACTACAGATCTTTTTGCTACAGTAGATCCCACAACTACAGCTGATATCCCTGTTTCAAGAACTCTGGCTGCAGATTCTTCTGCTAAGGATCCTACAACTATAGTATATCCAACTCGAGTTGATCATGTACCAACTGCTGGTAAATATTAAACAAGAAATGTTATAATAACAATATTGGGTGGAATTCTGTCAGCTGTTTTTATTGTTATTACCTTTATTGGATCTTTTTAACTTTTATTATTTTAACCCTGGTTCTTGTTGGCCATCAATTAACATAGTTAATAGTTTTAAACATACACTGTGCTACAACATACCCAATCTTGACAATTTTACCTAGCAAATAAAAGTTACATTTATAGTACATTCTATTCCGGATTTTCCTGTACCAGCTGCTAGTAAATATCAAACTAATAATGTAATAATATCTACTCTGGGTAGAATTCTGGTAGCTGTTATAATTATTAACATAGTCTACTGTTATTAAGGTAAATCCTGTATTTCATTCTGTTGATAGTCTATTTACTATCATTCCTGTTTTATTTACCATTTTAAGATGATGAGAGATCAAGAGATGCCGAAACTTCTACTATAGAATCTACAACTCCTGTTGTTAATATAAATCAAACTTATAATATTTCTACAGTTATATTGGGTGGAATTCTGACAGCTCTTATCATTATTAATATAGTCTGTATAACACTCTACTGTTTTATCAGGTAATTCCTCTATTTCATTGTTTTAATTTCATTTCTTTTAAGAAAATCATTTAGTTGCCTAGAAACCAAATCAAACTGTGTATGTTGCTGTACAGCATGCAGAAATATCTGTTTATAAGTTTCATTCGAGATACCTCTTATTTCGTGCTTTCTTTCAATTTCCAGGCGCCACAAGAACCAACAAAAGACTCGAAATACTCTCGCTGGATCTGGAAATGTTGAACAATCTCATTATGATTATATTGAATTAACAAGGATCAACCAAACCAGTCTTGCAGAGAATAACGTGATTCAAAATTTATATTCGGAACCCGATGAAGCACAGACGAGAACATGTAACACGACCAATATTGAAGATGGTGCTTATCTTATACCATGTAATACGAGTACTTATAACAGAGTCAATATTGAAGATCTGGATACTGATCCTACACCATGTAATACCAGTAGAGTCAATATTAAAGATCTAGATACTAATCTCACACCATGTAATACCAGTAGGGTCAATATTAAAGATCTAGATACTAATCTCACACCATGTAATACGAGTAGGGCCAATATTAAAGATCTGGAAACTAATCTCACACCATGTAATACGAGTAGGGCCAATATTAAAGATCTGGAAACTAATCTCACATCATGTAATACCAGTAGAGCCAATATTAAAGGTCTAGATACTGATCTAACACCATGTAATACCAGTAGGGTCAATATTAAAGATCTAGATACTAATCTCACACCATGTAATACCAGTAGGGTCAATATTAAAGATCTAGATACTAATCTCACACCATGTAATACGAGTAGGGCCAATATTAAAGATCTGGAAACTAATCTCACACCATGTAATACGAGTAGGGCCAATATTAAAGATCTGGATACTAATCTCACACCATGTAACACGAGTAGGGCCAATATTAAAGATCTGGATACTGATCCTACATCATGTAGTACAAGTACTTTTGACACGGCCAATATTGAAGATGTTGATACTTATAATAGAAATGTTGTGAGGGTACAGAATTAATGCCAATTTGTTTCTTTGGCCAGTCTAATTAAAACTAGACCAAACTTTCGTTCCTTTAATTCATATATTTCAGTAAGGCTAACGACAACCCTCTTGAACGTTCGTCAAATTAACCTTTTGACCTAACCTGATGAACACCGATTCATGCCAGTGCCGGATAGGGTAGAAATTTGATTGGTTGAAGCAGACGTCATAGAGTTAATTCAAAAGGTTAATTTTACGTTCAACAGGTCTGTTGTTAGACCCTAACTAAAGTGACTACATTAAACCTAAAAGCTAATAAAAAAAAAAAAGAACGAAAGATTAGACTGTTTCTTTGGTGAAATGTATTGCTTGAATAAAGATGTCATTTTAGTGGAGTGCATTTGTCAAAATGCGTACAAAATGTATTATATTCGGTAGTCTCTGACACTCACACTACTCCTGTCTACGACGAGGATATAGTCTGAGATTTTTCATTGAATTTTCTGTTACGACGCTTTCAAGTTCCATTATGGGAAATAACTACAATTAAGCATATTCGGTCTTTTGGCAACCCCCACAAGTTTTGTAAGATTATATTTGATATATTATCCGTGGATGTTAACTTTATTGATTGTTCGAGCACAGAATTAGAATTCGAAGACATTGTCACAATAATAGAATTATTTTAATTAATTTTTCCCATCAACAAAACGGATGTAGATCTTCAATCAATCAGATTCAATAGCCACTGAAGACGCGACCAATACTACTATTATTGATTTATTGTATACTAATATTATTGATTTATTGTATACTAATATTATTGATTTATTGTATACTAATATTATTGATTTATTGTATACTAATATTATTGATTTATTGTATACTAATATTATTGATTTATTGTATACTAATATTATTGATTTATTGTATACTAATATTATTGATTTATTGTATACTACTATTATTGATTTATTGTATACTAATATTATTGATTTATTGTATACTAATATTATTGATTTATTGTATATAACTATCCATAACAAGTCATTAATTAAGTCTCGGGATTTTTCAATCGCTACTCCAAAACCCAAAATCCGTTTTTAACGTCCGTTTTTATAATTACTTAACAATTGAGGTAATATCAATGTCTTTTTCTGATTATACTTGTAAAATCATGTAAATATATTTACAATTAACACTATATATTTACAATTGAGTTAATGTCAATGTCTGTATCCCACTATAATTGTATATCGTTGTAAATATATTTACAATTAACACTATATATTTACAATTGAGTTAATGTCAATGTCTGTATCCCACTATAATTGTATATCGTTGTAAATATATTTACAATTAACACTAAATATTTACAATTGAGTTAATGTCAATGTCTGTATCCCACTATAATTGTATATCGTTGTAAGTATATTTACAATTAACACTACATATTTACAATTGAGTTAATGTCAATGTCTGTATCCCACTATAATTGTATATCGTTGTAAATATATTTACAATTAACACTACATATTTACAATTGAGTTAATGTCAATGTCTGTATCCCACTATAATTGTATATCGTTGTAAATATATTTACAATTAACACTACATATTTACAATTGAGTTAATGTCAATGTCTGTATCCCACTATAATTGTATATCGTTGTAAATATATTTACAATTAACACTACATATTTACAATTGAGTTAATGTCAATGCCTGTATCCCACTATAATTGTATATCGTTGTAAATATATTTATATTTTATACAATCTATTTACAATTGAGGTAAATCTTTTTTCTTCTCATTATTTTCAGTTTTTTAAAAATTAAGAGGATCAGTTTTCTTGGACCTGAAAAATAAAATCGATCATAAACAATTGTATTCGGTTAAAATTAAACTTTTTTCAATATTTTGTAGATCATTTTCATTATGTGTATACTTAGACAATAGTATTCCATCAAAACTAATATATTTATATCTTCAATACTGTAAATTGATGTCATTGTTTATTTAGACAACCTGTTTTACTTCACATCTAATAAAATATATATTCAAGCTTCAATTCAACCTATTCAGATATTCAATGAATCATAAAACAAGATAAAGTTAACGCAATGCAGTTGTATGATCAGCCAGCGGATATCATTGGTCATTAGTTCACCCATTGTCTATTCAAGAGACCTATACTTAATTTTCTCATCGGATTTAGACTGTTGTGAATGTGAAGCGAACAAAATACAAGACAATGAAATAGAGTTTTACATCCTACTGGGAGCTTAATGGCAGTCTCCACAATGTCAAGCTATTACGAACTGTGCTGTGTCTTGACTGCAAGTATGTAAATACAGGAATTTGGTTAGATTGTACGCTAGCAAATACAGCTGATTAGTAACCTCGTCAGAAAGCCATAATTAGAAAGCAGGAATCTCCCAGGTCAAGCCAATGGACATGCGCACTCGGCTACTGCTCTAGATTTTGATCGAAAGTGTCAGAACCTAGATTATTGACCGCTACGGAACATTAATTAAACATCGAAAATTTCTATATAAAATACCGATAAAAAAGTTTTGATCTGTAAATAAATTCGGAATATTTTGCCAACGAACACCAACGAACACAATCAGGTGGCTCAATTAATACGTTTCCATTCAACATTAACAATGAGACCTGTGGTGTCTGCTAGATCTATCAACGTCAACGAGACGAATTCGTCTGTTGTAGTAGATCTATTGATGTAGTAAATAACGGAGAAGACTCCACTCTAAATATACCAACAACGACCGAAATAAATACAGATTTAAATAACAATGGTACTGATTATAATAATAATATGTCTTTTTCAATGATTTACAATTTTTGTCAAGCTCTATTTTTGCAACTTACACTCCAATCTAGTTGAAATTGGGAACATAACTTAACATACGATCACAATGTGCAATAAGAAAATTTTGTTGAAATCCACTAAGATTTTAGTGATAAATCATTGCCATAGCAACCATACCATTTTCCTACTTCACAGAGAGTTATATCAGGAAAGTTGTGATGAATCGTTTTTGAGAAGTTTGATGACTAAAATCGGTACCCGAAAACCCAAGATGGCTGGCATTTCCGTGGCAACAGGCACCTCTTGGAAAATATCATCACCATTTTTGTAATCGTGACATGAAGTCACCAGACGCCTGCAATTCAACTAAAACAAAGTGTTAAGTGAAGTTATTAATCTCAAAATATACTTTATCACATACGGCACTTCGACTTCAGTATATTTGTTATACAATATGCTACGAACTATTTCCTTTACATGAAGTTAGTTATCATTTTTTTATCATTCAAGAAAAATTTGAAGTACAACCTTTTTTCCTTTCATTATCAAGATTTTTAAATATCATTTATTCTTGGAATATTTTATTCGGATGGGTCTCATTTCCCCTACTTTGAAACTTATTATCTAGATATTGGTGTGTGGTCGTGCACGAGGCATTTCCGGGATATTGTTTACCGATATTTTTGTCACCAGATTTTGTCCTGTCCATATATTTTCCGACTGACTTTGCGACTTTGGTATTCTTTCGTTCGGCTTTATTTCTTGATATGAATAATCATATGATAGTAGTATATGTCTTTTCGGATATGACGCATTTCATTTCTGCGCATGCGCAGCTTTTTCAATGCGTCATATCCGAAAAGACACAACTGTTAAAATGTATTATAACAGACTCCCCAAACTGCTAAAAATGTATTATAACAGACTTCTCAAACTGTTAAAAAATATATCATAAACAGATTCCTCCAAACTGTATTACAACATACTCCATATAAATTACCCAAACCACAGACAAGAATCACTATAATAATACAGTATAAAATAACCGCATTAAAAAAATAAAAATGTATTTAATTTTAAAACACGAACAAAAAAAATTCGAAGGAGACGGTTTCTTCTCTGCGCTAACATCTCTCATCCCCAAAGTGGCCAATTTTGTCTCAAACAACAAATCCCTCATTTCCTGAGAAGCGCAAGCTCTTGGATCTGTGGCAAAAGCAAGAGTTAATATAAGCGATGCAGTGAAAAAATCTGACGAACTTAAAGAACTGCAGCTAATAAGAGAACTAAGAAACAAAAGACTAGAACGACAAGCCCTAGAAAAACAAGGAAAAGGGTTTAAAATCATTGGATAAAAATGGCAAGCAAAAATTACAGGCTGGATCCAATCTTTCAATTGCATGATCCGATTCAATATTCGTTCAACAAGAAGAAAGAGGATTACGTAATCATCTCACCATCGGTAGGGACAAAGACCAAAATAAACGACGGAAGAAGAGTTACCTTTGAAATTAATTCGTAACACAGTAGGTAGCATGACTTTAACGGGAGAATCTACCACGTGGCCAATCACCAACACCGTCAAACCAGCGAAATATCTAATGGTCGGTTTCAAAAAAATTGCCAGACTCTCAGACAAATAACAACAACATTTTCAGAGTGGCATTGAACCATACACAAGATCCCATCATTCGCAAAGTTCAAGTCAGATTGAACAACGATAATTATCCCAATCAACCTTTGACAATTGATCCATCCAAAAAAGATTACAACGAATTGTACAGAAACTATAAAAACATGTGAGAATTGTTTGGAAATACGCCTCAGTTTGAATACACAGATTTTTCACTCAATCATCCAATCTTTTGTTTCGATCTGTCAGCTCATCAAGAAGATCTTTTCAAAACAGGGGTAAACATAAATATTCACATCGATAAAACACAAGGAGATGTAACCGACTACTGTTTATTGCTGGAAGAAGCAAAACATTTGATTAAAATATCAGATAGAAGAATGAAAAGAATTGAATAAAAAAACACCCTTTAAAAATGAAACCAGAAACTATAGTTATGAAAATAATAGAAGCTATCGAAACGAATTCGCCGACTCTAATAACTTACAACGGTAAAAAAAGTGCATATAACCCAAAAGATTATCGATAAATACAAAAGTCAGAGACGATATAGACTTGGAAAGAATTGATGAGAATTTAACTAAAAAAGGTGGATTTTTACCTTTATTACCTTTAATCTTTTCTGGTTTAGTTGCAGCTGGTGAAGCTGCTGGGATAGCCGAAGCTGTCAACTCAAATAAAGCAGCTACAGTAAAAGCAGCTGAAGAACGTAGACACAATTTGGCAATGGAAAGAGAAGCACGAGGTGGTTCGGGAATAGGAGATATATTAGGGACGGTTAAAGAATTCGGACAAAGATTTGGCGAAGAAACCAAGAAAACCGTTAAAGAGGGATTGAGCAAATTAATAGATAATATCGACACCGGAGAAATGAAGGTCAAACACAAGGGCAACGCCATATTTTTTAAAAACATACGTTCGGGCGAGGGAATCTTTCTTTCAAAGTGTAAAGGCAACGGGGTGATTTTTGGTACGAAAATGTAATAATTAAAAATGGGCAAGAAATTCAAACATTCGGACATATTTCCTAGCAACCCCATGCTCATGTGCATTTGCGGATCTTCGGGTTGTGGAAAGACTTATCTCACTTTTAACATGTTGACAACACCGAACCTTTTAGATTTCGAGTGAAAGAGTTATGACAAACATTTGTTAAATTTTATTTTTTTTAAAAATGACGGATTGGAATAATATTTTAAAAAGAAATAGAGAATATATCAAAGCTAAGAATAAAATAAAGACCCAAGTTGAAAATAACAGATTACAACAACTCGGATTAACGGAAAATCTACAGACTCTATTTCAACCCATATTAAAAAGTCAAGAAGATATTAAAAAGAAATTTAGAACCCACACCTCATATAGAACCCACACCTCATCACCCCAAAGCGATTGAATATAGTGGTGTTATAATTAGGACAGAAGATGATGTAAAACATTATTTTTCAAACCCTGACCCAGATTTACCAAAAAGCATTTCACCAATCATTAATGAAGCGGGTTTGTTGTTCAATGGTTTTAGAATAAGATTTAGGGCAAATACCCCCGAATTTATAATCGATACAAAAGATTACATATACACATTAACGAGAGGATTAATAGATTTAATGAATGGCGAAGACGTTGAAATTGCCGATTACAAGGATTTAGTAGATACTCAAAATTTCTACATGCGATCAGAAAGACAGGGCCCGAAACAAGAAGATTGAGAGAAGTTGATTTATATATAACAAAAGTTATTGAGCAAGATGAGGTAGATGATTATGCAGAAGATTATCCACCAATCATACAAGAAATAGACGAATTCGAAGATATGGTGGCATCTGGACAAGGTATAATGTTTTTATCCGACAACAATAAAGAATTGCTTAATAGATTTGAAATAATATTAGCGGCCATGAAGGAAGGTCATCGATCGGACAGACAATACAACGAAGTCAATGGCATATTAAAATGAAAAAGACTATATAAACGTCATTAAAAATGTCCAATAAAGAACAATTGTTCGTTATCACCTCGAATAAACCAGACATCAAATTGTCTCGAGTATGAAATCGATTGCAATAAACAGTACGAACTGGGATTAAAGTATTTCTCCGTTTACAATTCCATTAGAAATATCAACGAAAACAATAATCAACTAAAAATATCGACGGATAACGGAGTTACGTTCAAAACCATAAGCTTACTACCGGGAAGCTACGAATACGTAGCCATCAACGATTACCTATTCGAATACGCAGGAAGCGTGAGCGGTAAAAACAATATCGAATTCGAAGGTAATTTGAATCTGAACAAAATAAAACTGATCTTGAGAAATAACAGTCAAGTCCATTTCAACGTAGAAAATTCGTTGAATGCGATACTAGGGTTCGATAAACGAATATACGCGCAATCGACATTGGCGCCACACAAGGCCAACATCGAGAACGACATCGACGTGATCAACATTCACTGTAATTTGATCAACGGTGGATTTTTCAACAAGCACAAACGCCAAATCATATACAGCATACCGACTTTTACGGTGCCGATCGGATACAGAATTATAGAGAAACCGTTTCAAACAACCTATTTACCAATCAATTCTTTCATGATCAAAGATATAAATCTGGAAATCAAAGACGGTAAAAACAGTTTCATAGACTTTGGCAACGAAGAAATTGTCATTCAACTCCATTTAAAACAATCTTCATTCTCTTCTTGAATAGTAAGATAATCGAAATCATCATATTCATAGTTTTCGTCAAAACTATACTCATCTTTGTCGTTGTAAGGATACATAATTCCTTCACTGTTTGATGGTTTTCTTTTAACATTATTCAAATAACTTCTAAAAACTTTAGTTTGTTTATCATTTGGAATAACTACTCCATTGGTGAAACTTTTTTCCCATGGTTTCTTAAATTCGTTCGACACATCATGTCCGCTTGCAAACTGAACGTAATCTTCTACACTTATCTTATCATTAGAATAACCTTTAAACGTTTTCTTTTTTTTTAAAACACCATCGGAAGTCAAAACGATGTTGTATTTGACTTTTGGTGCTAAATATAAACCAAATATAATTCCACCGTCACCGTAATCGTTTTTACCTTTGCAATAGTCTTTTTGCGGAGACCAAACCAGCTCTGTTCAGTTTTTTCCAATTGTTGGATGAAATGTACAAACTATCGGTGTCGGTATAGTATATTTCGGGTTTATAAGATCCATTTATGACGTGAATGAAATTGTTCATTATTTTTTTACTGTGAGATAAAACGAATGATCCCAAATGACTAGGTGTAAGTCGTGTGTAGATTTACTATCTTCGGTAGTAATCTCTTTTTCTTCAATTTCTGTTTCAACAATATATTGAGTATCATTAATTTTCTCATAGGTTTTAACACGTGAATCAAAGTTGGCCTGTAAAGTTGCTTCATTCCATAAATGTTCAGTTGTGAATATATCTTTCTGATTTACCATACAAGGAATTACCTAATAATTTCATGCACTTACTACCCACGATATTACCTTCTCGTTTATATTTATATCTTAGATCTCTCAAAATTAAAATATAATCTCTATAGGGCGGAGTTTTAAACTATACCATCTAATATTCTAATAATTCTTCCACCGGCTTTCACTATTTCTTGAATATCGACCGATGTTAATACGTCGTGACAGAAACCATTTCTGAACCTGATTTTAGTGCCAGTTTCCTTTTTACCTTCTTTATTCGTGAAAGTGATTTTATCTTTAGCTGGTATCGGTTGGAAGAACATGTTTTTGGGATACTCAAACCACACTGTTAAAATAGCTGTTCTAGGTCTGAATTTTTGTTTATTGAAGAGTTTTACAAATTTTTTTTCTTCTTATGGTAGAAACGGTCTTCCACTTTCCGCTCTCGGATATTCACTGTCTAAATCCGACATGGCTGAAGCGTATAAACCGTTAGCATCAAATGCCATTAGTTTGGTACATTCTATTTTTTTAAGTCTCGAATGAACCTCCGTTTTGTCTTTCGTGCTTGCGCTGTATTCTTTGAATAAATCAATTATGTTATTACTTTCTGTGTCACTTTGTGAAATATATTCCTATAATACGTTACAAATTTCATCCATTTTGTTCGTTTCAAATGATTTTCTATTTGCCGAAACTCTTCCTCCTTTAATAGATCGTCTGATAAAACTTCTTAGAAAAGGATTAGTGTGCGAATAAACTTTTTCTATATTTTCTTTTTCGGTATGTTTCGCAACCATTCTAGTAGTTTCATACCATTCTTCTTCAACCATTTCTTTATCGTAATGATATAAATAATACCAACCCTTTAAAGATAAAGATGGAGCCGTTAGATTATTGGACATATTCTGGTTTACAACTTCTTTCATGACTTGGTTGTATTTTATCAAACAAGCTCCCAAACAGAGAGTGTCTCTCTTGGCGTAAGGTTCCCATTCTTGTCTCAATTCCTCCCAATTGTCTTGGGTGTATTTAGCGATATCTACGTCGGCAATCTTTCTCAAATTCGCGGGAAGATTGGAAGAATTTCCCCATGCAGCCAAACTAGAGGATTCGTGTTGGTAGGAACACGTGAAATTAATATGTTGTAAATAATTACTCTTTATTTCTTTCTGTCTTTTCCATTTTTTCTGTAAATCTTCATCTGTGTATGGATTAGATAAAGGAAAAGATAGAATTCCTCTGGGTGTTTTTAAAGGGCAATGCGCTAGTTTTTTTTGTATTTTTAAGCACGATCCAGTTGTTGAATCCGCTGCCGTTATGAGAAATTAATATTAATCTCTTTCTATCATATTGACCTAAATATTTCAACATTTGATCTATACAATCTGTACCTACAAATATTTCTACTAGTTTATCATAAAATTCTTCTGAAACATTATCAGTAAGAAAGATATCTTTTTCTAACTTTTTTCTTAGTTTTTCTAAATTAATTAAAGTGCAGGCATAAGGAATTGCTCTTCACGTGTCTTTTTCTGATTACGTTTCGCAATCCCAAGCGAATAACGCATCATCACTCATACTTGAAAGCACGTTACTGCGTTATCGTCTCTACAAGTTTTCCACACCTGTTCGTAATTGTCTTCTATTTCTTGAATTCCCAAACTTTTTTGGCTTCTTCTAATCAAACAGAAATGCGAGTTGTGTAAGTAAAAACCCAATCTAATTCATCATGTACGTCTCTGGGGTGAAAATGTCTGTTTTTGGGATTATAAATTTGAAACGAAGTGTTAAATTTCTTGTTGAATTCCTTCATTGTAGCACAAGTCATCACTCCTTTTCTATTTGCTTTTGAAAACCCGTATGATGTATTCTTGAAATTTACACGTTAAATCTTTGTTCAAAACACGATTGACGCATTTGATGAAACAGTGACCATCTTTCTTGTTGACTTTTATGAACATCGATCGAGGTGTATTTTCCACCTAAAACAAAATACAGTTTTACGTATTCAAAGTCTGTTGTTCGTAAAAACTCGTGACTGCTCGATTCTATTGGCCCGGGTCCGGGTCCGGTATTATAAGTGATGGTGGAATTTTGACAATGTTGGCTGATGGTGGATTTTCCGTCTCCAATATCATATCCAAATCTTTGATTCCAATGATATCCTTATCATTTTCTACTTCCATTTTAAAGGTGTCTATATATTTACCATTTTTCGTTTCAATTTCCTGATCCCTTTTATCAATCAAACGTATATTCTCTTCCAAATTACCATCATTGAATAATGAAATATGTTTGACGGCCTTACCGGTTTCTTTGAAGACTACTTTATTGACTTTAACCTTCATGGGAAACTCTATTTCAATCAGACAATTACCTCGAAAAGTAAACGCTTCCGTTTCGCCGATATCGAATACGTTTTTAGGTTCTCCGTCTGCGCGAGAAGCTACTTTTATTTCTGCTTTGAATCCGTATTTGTTTGATTTATAACTTTGGTCTTTTCTATCGAAGACAGTGTCACTTTTGAATGAAAGATTGAAATAATACGATTTGTCCGTGACAATAGCTTCTAATTTGGTCAACTTTCTCTCTTGTCTCAAAAAATGGTCATGAATTCTAAATACCAAAAGATTGACCTGTTCTTTAATTTTTCATATCATCTCGAAATTTATTTTGAAGAAAGTTTTTAATCACACCCACTTCTTTTTCTTATTCGTCCGTGATTTTAGTATCCAAAGCAGTCAATTGTCGTTTCAACGTATCTTTGTCAATGGGAAGTGTGTTAATTATATTTTGAACATCTGATTTTTGCTTCGTGATCTTTTCGTTCAATTTGGATATTGAATTTTGTAACTCAGTTTTGTCCGCGGTCTTGTCTAGTTCTGTTAGCAATTCGCCAAGTTTTCTTTCCAAAGCGGTTAGTTTTTGTTTCAATCTATCCTCGTTTACATTTGGGTTATCTATTAAACGTTGGACGTCTATTTTTACCTTCGTAATCTTATCGTCTAATTTAGATATTAAATTTTGCAACTGACTTGTTTTATCCACTTGAATAAGACGTTTCAAACTCGTTAACTCTTGTTGTAGTTTGGGTTCGTCCACAAGATGTTTAATATTTCGTCTGAGGTATCTTTTGACGCCAGTTATTCTATTTTCAACATGGTCCTTATCTATTTGAATTTGATCCAGTAAATATTCCTTTATCACGGGCATCGTTATCGTTTCCTGGAAACTTTGAATTAGTTATTTTGAAATTGTTCATATCGATATCCCCTTGTAAGGTGTCTCCGATTTGATCCACGAAAAAAGGTTTCGCTTTGTTTATAAACGCCGTAGAACTCATGGGATTTTTAGATTCTAGAGGTAAAGACCCTAATCCAAACTTGTTTGCCATTTTTATTGAGTTAAATTTATTATAATTTCTTCAAACTTTTCTCCCAAACTCAACCGATATAAAACCCAAAGCGACAGCTGTCCACACAGCTTTTGTCCTGGCATTTGAATTTGAAACGTAGAACATTTGATTGGTGTGCTAGTCAATTTCGTTATCTCTCTTCGGTCTAGACCGAAAGAATCAAAGAAATAAAAGTTATTCGAAGATTCTTTGTGTAGAGCAGAGTGATGAACTCCTTTTTGATCCGACGTATGAATGTTTGTGATGGCGTACAATTTACCTTGTATTTCAGTTCATCAATTTCATCTCGCATGCAATAAAAAAACGACGAGACGTTCAATTCCTTGGACCATTTCACAAGTTGAAAGTTTGTGGTCGTGTCTTTTCCGTATTTATCGAGAAATGCATTCATTTTTGAAGTTAATTTTTTTTAGGTGTTTTTCGAAGTAGGCGGTAAGTATTGCCGAAGACCCAATTGACGAAATATATACGTAGTTTGTGTTTGAAAAAACTTGTATAGCATTCTGATAAAACACTTTCAATAATATTTTGAAGATAAATTTACATTTAAGATTAAAAAATCTTAATTTAAGAAATCGTAAATGCTTGTCGACATCTAAATTTCTTATCCTTTCATCTAAATCTTCATTTTCGAAATTCATTTTTAAAAGTCAGTTTTTTGAAGTTCATTTTGATAAAACCTTCCTATGATTTGTTCTTTGTCTTGATCGATCAATTCATACGTGGGAGGTGATGTGCTGTTTACTTTATCAACGATGACCATTTAAAAATACGAACTCGATCTCCAACTTTGAATTTGGGTTTAATATTCAAATTGCTAATCTCTTTTTCAAAGTTGTTTCGAGTGTTGACGGACTTTATGATATTTGGGTTATTCGAGGCTTGTGTTGGCGTCACACCTATAGACTATTTTGTTATTGTATTCGTCGACAACAACTGGTAATATTTTAAGCTATTTTTGAGATCTCAATTCCGTGAATTTCTTGAATAATTTGCTTTTAAGAGTCCTGTTGAATCTTTCTATCACTACGGCCTTACCTTCGCTATGCGTGCTGTAAATTTCAAACCCCAGAGATTTCACATTTCTGTTGTAGAATTCGCTTCCTTTATCAACCCACAACTTTAGGGGTCGTCTGTCGGATTGTTTCATTATGGTTTCGAATGCTTGTTTGACAGTCAGACCCGATTTGTTTTTCAAGGGAAAGACCCAAGCGTATCTCGTGTATATGTCGATCACCGTCAAACAATACTTGTACCCTCTCTCGACTGGCATGTTGATTAAATCGGCTGACCAAATTTCATCTTTATCAAAAACTTTGACTTTGAGGTAATGTTTGTTTTTTCGAAATTCTTTGTGAATCTCGTCTGCTATGCCCATACCCAATTTCAATTTTGCCTTCAAGAGTTTTATGATAAGAGCCCTTTGTAATTTCTCTTTGAAAGTGGGATTGGGAATATTTTCAAGTTCGTCTGTTTCAAGTTCGTTTGTTTGTCTGCTTGGTGTCTGAATGTTATGTCTTTGTTTCTGTACAGTATGTCGTGTTTGAGCGCTGCTGCGTCAACTCTATTAACGGGTTCTTCCCCTGGTTTGGGATTATCATTTTCTTCTAAACGTAGATCTAACCTAGTGCCTGGACCTGTATAATTGTGTCCTGGGAGATGTTTTTCTCCGGGATATTTTGCCCATGGGAATCCAGGAAGAGAACCCAATGACTTTTGAATGTCTCCCGCACCGAAATACGTTTTAGGAGGATGGACATTTATTAAAGACATATTTGTTCAATAAACACCATATATTTTTAATACGAAAGATTTAATACAAGGAGAAAGCGATAGAAATGATTCACTTTATGAAATGTCACGACCGATCCTAATAAGAGCGGTTTGAAAAATGAGGTCACGAGCGATCCGAATAAGAGCGGTCATGACATTTAAATTATGACTGCCAATAGTGTAAGACGGGAGATAACTATGACCGCTCTTATTAGGATCGCTCGTCATCCTTTGCTCTATTTTTCGAAAATCTATATCAACAACCTTGGATATTTGTCACAGAGTTTGGTAAAAACTCTTGGCCTTTTTCTATCCCCTTACCGATGGTTTAAATATTCTTCGTGATATGAAATGTTGGCATCTATTAAACTGGAATAAAACAAAAAATTGATATTTTGATTAAAACAGCAAAAAAATCTTAATTCCACCCTGTCGTCTTATGATTAAATCAAACAAAAAAGAACATACCTTGATTTTTGTATGATTAAATTCCTAATCTTCAACAAAAACATGGCTAACAGTTAAGAGTCTAGACTGTCTGTGCTGACGTTGCACTCGTGATATGTTACTTATAGCGTGACATATATCCAGTGAACAATAGACGAGTGACTGTTACTAGGCGTTAAAGATAATTTATTAAATCAATAATACTCTAGACTGTGTATAAACAAAAAACAGTGTTACCTCCCATTAATCAGTTGAGGTTTTTATCCAATAATTTTTATTTCGCATTTCTCTTATATGTTGTAATTCTTTCAACTCGTTAGATCTTTTCACTGCATCGCTTATATCTACTCCTGAGGAAATTTGTTGTTTGAGACAAAGTTGGCCACTTTGGGGATGAGAGATGTTAGCGCAGAGAAGAAACCGTCTCCTTCGAATTTTTTTTGTTCGTGTTTTAAAATTAAAGACATTTTTATTTTTTTAATGCGGTTATTTTATACTGTATTATTATAGTGATTCTTGTCTGTGGTTTGGGTAATTTATATAGAGTCTGTTATAATACAGTTTGGAGGAATCTGTTTATGATATATTTTTTAACTGTTTGAGGAGTCTGTTATAATACATTTTTAGCAGTTTGGGGAGTCTGTTATAATACATTTTAACAGTTGTGCCTTTTCGGATATGACGCATTGAAAAAGCTGCGCATGCGCAGAAGTGAAATGCGTCATATCCGAAAAGACATATATTACTTATGATAACCATCTATAATATTTTGATTTAAAACACTTGTTATAATCATTAATATAACCCTGTGCCAATGCCAACCAAATTGTTGTTCGAAAGTACCTTTTTACTTACAATCACCCTAATACCTATTCTACATTTGGGAACAGAGTAACCCGATATGAAATTTGCTGCACTTGAATAATTGCACAGTGAATATAATGTGTTCTCGCGGAAAGAAATCTCTACATCTAGATTTTATCAAATATATCATATGCCTATAAACCATAACCAATAGAGAGTATGAATATTACGTTAAAATATTATAAGATATATTCAAACTTTATAGGACAAACATTTAATGAATTCGGATGTATATTAGACAACAGGAATAGGAAATGAGTAACACGTCAAGCTATACACTGTTAAAACTAAATGTTATTAATTACCCTGAAACATTGGATAGTTAACACTTTTACTAGCGTAGTCTATTTTTACACCTTTTGAAATGTAAGTTGAAAACATCCATTTAACACTATATTGGTATTAGAATACACTATATAAAGTGTTTACACCTCGTTACACCTGCAGCATATATTACGTATATTTCAAAACACTAAATGTAACGCTTAATTAGGTGTTAATTTGTCCTTAGTGCAATTAAACACCTTAAATTATAATCATTTCACTGCTTCGTATGTAGCATTACTCATATCTTACTAATCAAGTGTTCATTGACACTAAAACAGTACTTCTTCCCAAAAACACCTCAATTAGTGTCATCAAAAGTTGTTCCCCTTTGAACTTGAACATTGATTACATGTTGACACCTGAATGTGTGTTTTGTCGACATTCAATTTACATTTCTTTTAGTTGCATTTGGATTAAGAAGTGGGATTTTCCCTAAACATCAGTCGTATATTATCAGTCGTATATCACGTGGTCTCAGAGGTCGTAATTTTCTCGACAAAGTTCGGCTGAGTACATTCCGGG